GAAGAAATGTTTGCCTGTTGTCTTCAGTCTTCTTGGCTGGGAGAATGTAGGCAGCTTGCTGGAAGCATTACCTAAGTCTGGGTTCAGTTTGTGGCCCTTGGTCTTCTCTGGCAAATGGAAGCCATTGCAATGTACAGTAGCAAGTTTAACCACCACTGGTATTTGAAAACAAAGGGTCCCCCCAAAATAGCAATGTTTCTTTTTGGTAGGTCTGTTTAGAAAACATCATCATACCCATTTGCTCAATTTGCATGTCTGAAAGGCTTCTGTTCAGTTAATTGGTTAAATTAATTTCTGCTGTTGTAAACTGAGAGCCGTATTAAGAGCAGAACTAAAGTAATTTTACTTTACATTATTATGTGTCATGGCACATCGTTTATTTCTTACTCAAGGCAATTCATTTTGTGGTGCTGTCAAATAATATTTTGTGTCATCTTCAGTCAATGTAGCTTTTACGATTTTCGCTGATATTTTAACAGTTTATTTAGTCCTCTAGATAATGGTCAATGGCCTTGAGTAGTCAAATTAACACCTCAGCAGCACTATATTTGAGCAAACCGCTAATGGTAACCTCAGGATGAAAAGCAATGAGAATCAATATAGCGAGCGTATTTTTAGGGATTATTGATTGATTGATGCGTTCTGGCCTTAACTTGAAGAAGCCAGCATTGCCCCACAGCTGACTAAGATTAAGTTGCCAGTTACTGATAACTGCAGGCCATTACCTGCATAGTATTTCACAAGGTTGGAGATTAGATGGAGACCTTTTATAGTCCTTAGCTGAAGAAACCGCAGCATTCACAGGGCCTGTAATGCCTACCTGGCTGCAGAAAAACGCTGCGCTCTTCTCCAGTTCGTACCAGCCGTTGCCGTGAGAATTGGAGATGATGTTGATTTGATTCAGGGCTGCCTGTTGTTCCTGTAGGGATCTATTTGGGACAACTGAGGCACTAATGGCTTATCTCCCCCCCGCCTCTGACAGCAGCTCTGCAGAAGGTGGGAGCCATGTTAAGCTGTGCTGCTGTCAGCAAGCTGAGAGCTGTGGGTCTCCCCGCCACAACTCTCAATTGCTAGCAGGTTTCTCTCATTGCACCTCATTTGCATCTGGGACATCAATTAGCATGTTTGTTGAGGCTAATTGAATGAAACTCAATCATAGCTCTTAATTGCTTGACTATGTGAAAAGAAATCACATTAATGCAGCTAATTAAGTGTATGGCAATAGATGCAACATAATTAGGAGCGAAATGTAAAAAACAAGCGATGGCGAAGGTGCAAGCACAGGGGTGCAGGGGACTGGGGCGCTGGCTTCTCCTGTTATCCACACGTTTGGGGAGGGTTCCCTTTCCTTTGCTGCCTGCTTTTTTTTTTTTCTCCTACATTGCTGAATGATGAACATGGACAAGTTGAGAAGAAAAATGCAAATGGATTTGCAATTACTACTTTTTCAAGCTGTTGAGGGGCAGAAGATGGCACTTCTGGGGTGGCCCGCTGTTGAGTGGGCTCTAGGGACTTGTTAAGTGCTGTTTAAAAGTACTTGGCTTTGAATTACCCTCATGCCTTGTTAAAGGGTTTTTTCCCCTTTTTTCTCGGATCAGCATTTTCTACAACTAACGTCTAGGGGAGTTATATCTGTAACATTTGCATATCAAAATCAGGCTTGCTGTCTTCTCTTTAACACAGCATATTCCAGATGACAGCAAGACCCTCATCTGTTCTAATCCGATCAAACCCTCCATTGCGCTTCTGAAGCCGCGACATTAGTTTGTAGTTTTAACTTTTATTCCCCAAGTGCAGATCTGAAGGAGCACACGTGGGGGTGGATGCTCCGTCGACTGGAAGCTTGGTGCTTGCCTCTCCTCCTTGGGGAAATGCAGAGATTATTGCTATGCATCTTGCACACAATGAAAGAGTCTTTATTATTTACATTTGATATATCCCTATAAATATTTAAGCTGACATTAATACCTATGTGGCATCTGTTGTGTTTGGGCACTTTTGTATAATAACGGTATGGCTACAGCGCATTTATTTCCTGTTTGCCAACGTTCAGTTACTCTCTCAAATGGTTTATAGCTCACCTAAGCCCGGTTTACTCTCAATTAAAAGGGCTTTAATAATGCCCTGTCACATCTCACAAGTTGGCAGGGTAGCAGGGAAATCGTACACACTATTCATCTGACAAATTTGGAATAAACCCTTCCTTCTCAAATTTAAATGGCATACACTGGTGGTTGTACGTTAAATAAAACGTTTCTATTAAAAAGAGTACATGCTGAGGTTTAGTCACTATCTGATTAAGCCTCATTTTAGAGCCCATAAGCAATAAATGCTCAATTATGTTCTGCTTATTGTATTTTAATTTGTGAAGAACTGACACTGAACAGGAAAGTTACGCCAACTTGATAATTTATGGATGAAACAGTTTTGTTCGTTTCTATCTTAACACCTAGTGAATGTATTTTTATTAATGGATTGCCTTTGTTTCTTTTGGCAGCACAGCTCCTCTGTGTCCTCTCCCCGTAAATTGTTCAGACCCCCCCTTTTTCCTGTTAATAATTCTCAAACAGCTGAGGGGGAAGAAAAAAAAAAAAAAGCGGGTGTGAGGGTTTATTTTTCTGGCTCTCCTTCACAGCTCCTCTGTGTCCTCTCCCCGTAAATTGTTCAGACCCCCCCTTTTTCCTGTAAATAATTCTCAAACAGCTGAGGGGGAAAAAAAAAAAAAAGCTGGTGTGATGGCTTAGTTTGTGGGTTTTATCACAGATTAACGTTAGCTGTGAAGAAATGAATGCTGGTCTGGTAGTCGATTTTTGATGTGTGTTTTTGTGGAATTTTGATGTGTTTTCAGTGGAATATATAATTTGCATTGTAAAAACTGTCAAAAGCAGAAGGATTTTTATGATGGAGCTGATTGTTCCCTGTATTGTGGCAGCAGTGATGTAGACCTCGGGTATGCTTTTAGTCCATTTGGGTATTTGCTTGTAAAATTGATGTGCTGGTAGTGTACTGCAGGTTTGGAACTGACCTAATTAATATTGGTAGTCTTTCATATAACACCTTGTAATCTGGCTAAATATTGCCTTGGCCACTGGGACAACTGGGACTTAGTCTTTGCTGGCAAGTCTTTGCTCGTGCAGACGGCTGCAGCATCACCCAGGCCTCTGTAAATTGATCAAGTTCTGTCTGAAAAGGAATTAGATTTTTTTGCCCCGGCTGCTCCACACAGAAGATTGCTCAAGAATACCATTCCCTTGGTTTCCAGCTCAACTCAAGAGCTTAAGCCCAGATCTTTTCCCAATCTTTAGTTCAAATTGCTGTTTTCCTCTTGGGGTGCATAAACCCAAGTGTATTTTTGTGCAATCCTCATACCACTTTCCACCCTTGATTTAGCTATGTTGTCCGACCACTTATGGCTTCTCAGAAGATACAGTCTCTTTGTTTCTTCTAGTGTCCTCATAGTTTTTCCAGATTCAGTTATTTTTTCTGGGATGCAAGAAACCTCAACCATATCTACCAGGAGATGAAAACTTTGGTGTCTTCTGTACTGGCTTTAACATTAACCATCTCTACTCTTTTGATGTATCCGAGTATTGCAGCCTCAGTGGCCGTCTCACCTCAATGAATTGTCATTTTTCTCCTGATAAAGGCACCTGTGTCCATTTGCTTTTCTGTTTTCATCTGAAGCAGCCCACGGATAATTTAGGGAATGCCTTTGAAGCTGGAAAGCAGAATCTCAAGAGCCTGTTCCTCCAGAAGCCTTTTCCCGTTTGAAGATCTTTCTCATGGATTTCTTGGGAAGCGGTGGCTTGGCTCCAGTTAGTTGACCGCTGTCTTTCCACAGCTGACTGGGTTCACTCATTTCAGCTTTGTGGGCTTTCCAAAAAAGAATTAGAAAAAGCCTTTTCCACTTCTGGCTTCCAACTTTTGGTGTGTTTAATCTAATCAGACACAATTTGCATATTTTTTTCCCTTCTATGATTTTTTTAATGTGTGGAGAAAGGATGATATTCTAAGGAAACAACGCTGTAATTGCAAAAACCTTACCAGTCAGTGAGTGCTCTTTCATAACTTTTGTGCCTGCCAACCAATTTTCGGTCAAGTTTGAGGGAGAAAGAGATGCATAAAACGTTGGCAGAGAGGAGATGCAAGTAAGCGTGCTCATGAGGGACAGTCAGCCATGTCTTCTCCTTCTCTTTGGGACCTGCTAGCTGGTGAACTCCTACATGTGGCTCAGAATCAGCAACATTGTGAGCTTAGGATGTATTAGAAAGCTCAAGATTTTCAGGGATATTTGTAGTGAGATGTGTGGAAGGGATTATCAAGATGTCCTGGTTTTGGCTGGGATAGAGTTAATTTTCTTTCTAGTAGCTGGCACAGTGCTGTGTTCTGGATGAGAGGAATGTTGATAACACGCTGATGTTTTAGTTGTTGCTAAGTCGTGCCTAGATTAGTCAAGGACTTTTCAGCTTCCCCTGCTCTGCCAGGTGTACAAGGAGCTGGGAGGGGGCACAGCCAGGACAGCTGACCCCAACTGGCCAAAGGGCTATTCCAGACCATAGGATGTCATGCTCAGGGGAAGTTGGCCAGGGAAGAGCGATCGCTGCTCAGGACGGGCTGGCCATCGGTCAGTAGATGGTAAGCAATTGCACTGAGCATCACTTGTTTTGTATGTTCTGTATATTCTATTACTATTATTACTTTTTTATCCTCTGCTGTTTTACTGAACTGTCTTTATCTCAAGCCACGGGTTTTATCTTTTTTTCCGATTCTGTCCCCTATCCCACTGAGGGAGGTGGGGAGTGAGTGAGCAGCTGTGTGGTCTCCAGCTGCCTGCTGGGTTAAACCACAACACAAGAAAATGGAAGGAAGGCTAAAACCATGGTGGGTGCTGGCAAATGATGTAGGACAAAAGTCTTATGAAACCAGTTTTCATTAGATCTGTTGCTTACAGAACTACCTATTTGATACTGGGTTGGGGATTTTTTTTTCCCTCTTACCAGGACTATATGCAGAACGTTCACGGGAAAGAAATAGACTTGCTGAGAACCACTGTGAAAGTCCCCGGGAAGAGGCCACCCCGAGCTACGTCAGCTTGTGCACCCATTTCCAGTCCCAAAACAAATGGCCTCTCCAAGGACATGAGCAGTTTACACATCTCGCCGAATTCAGGTAAGATAATACCATGCTAGGGAAAAAAAGGGAAGGATTGCATTTCCAAGTGCCTGTAGGCTATTGTCATGTACTACTGGGATGGAGATAATACCTAGTAATAATTTACAAATCTAAATAACCACTGACGTGTAACTTTTTAAGGCCTGACTGCTAATCTGTCTTCCATGAGAGATTCTAAGTTTGAGTAACCTTCAGGATCTGTCTTTTTCTACCTGTTACCTTATACTTGCCAAAACCCTACATAATTTCACAGAAATTAACATTTGTGAATAATTTGTGCTGTCTTATGATGGATCTGTTAGGTCTAATATTTTGGAAAAATGGGAGATTTTTGAAAGGGCTTTTTGTGGCTTCCTGGTGGGATCCACAGCACTTCTTTCCACCTTTAGAAGGATGCATAATATTGGACTTCCCAACAGCAAGATTCTTCTGTAGAAAGCTATTTTAGTTCATTTATGGAAGTAGTTTATAGCTCCTTGTGAGCTCTAAACAAAGAAGTTTATTGTTTGCTGAAGTGCTTGTCCATACAGCTAAGTGGATTTAAAAAATTGCATTAAGGAAAAACATTTAAGACTATTTATCTTGTAAAATGCACAGCTTATACAAAACTCGTAATGGTATAGCATTAGTATGGAAGTTATGTCAGCATGTTTGGGGATGACATCCATAAAGTGCCAAGTGCCTTTTGCATTTGATTAACATAGATACCTCCATCGTGTACTGACAAAACTATCCAAACATACTTTAGTCCTTGTGTAATAAGCACTACACAGGTAGGATGAGCAACTGCAGGAGGGAACTTGGTCACCCTGCTATTGAAATGTCTTCTCTTGGACAGCAATAGTTATCTTGGGCTTCAAGTCAAGATGCAATTCCCTGCGTTTTTGCAATGCTCATTCCTCTGTATTAGGGGAAGAGGGAGAAGGATTTTCCTTCTAACTGTGGATGCTGTTTGTTGAGATGAATGTTTAAAAAAGGAAAAGAAAAAAAAAGCAGCCTTGTGGCTTTACAGTGGTGCCACTGAGCAGACATCCCTGGAGATCTTGTGTGGCATGTTATATTAGCTGGGGACTTGAAATGTCTGAAGCCGTGATTTCCTCAGACTCTTTCAAGTTGTAACCTACCCCTTGAGAGGCACAGAGCTGGCATTGTCACTGGAAGAGTTCAGAGGAGAAAATTATTCATGGTTGGTTTGTTTTTTCCATTTTGCTGTTTAATTTAGATGATGGGGGGTGGGTGTTTTTCAACATATTCTGTAATTTAGGGAAGAAAAGTTCTGGACTGAGTCAATAAACCAGCAATAAGACTTATAAATAAGAGATTTCTGCTTTTAAGACACTTGAACACAGACAAAAATTACTCAGTTGCTCTAGAGAAGTACATTTCAGAAAACTTATTCAGAGATGCACACTAATATAGAGCTTATAACATGGAATTTACATGTTGTGGCATGTGCCTTAGATCGCCAGGTCAGAGGGAAACAGCTTGTCCGTGACTTTAGTGAAATGTGCAACATTCATTTTGTTTCAGAACTCTCTACACATACGATGCTTTCTTTACATGAAACTGTAGTGTAGACAGCTCTCTGGCAGCGGTGGTAGCCACTGTGTAATATCCTGGCTACCCTGAGGTTTTATCGCACAGCGATTGCTTTAGAAGAGAAGAGTTAATTATGCTAGAAGGCATAAATGCTGGAAAGCAGCTCTGCTTTTAGATGGCGTTTTTCAAATAACATGGCAGTAATAGTTGGAGCTTCTGTCCTCTCTCTTGCCTTCTATATCATCATGCCTAAATATACTGAAAGACTTTTCTGTTGTTGATGTCTGGTTACCACAGCTCAAGAGATCTATTGTGGTTAAGTCTTAAAATAATTAATGTCCTCCTATTGTATGATAGAGTTGTATCCAAAGGAAGCTGAACCTGATTCTCTTATCATAACCCACTCAAATACCTTCGTTTCTCCTCTCGTGCAGCGGGATGCTACGCTGATCCTCCTTTCATTTTTATCAAGTTCTTGTACTGCTTATCTTTGCATCGCACTCATCCCGTAGATAAAGCAAGCATTGTCTTAGTTATATTACCCCTATAGCTGGCTGGAAGCATAACAGTTTTGAAGCATCTTTACAACTTGCTGGGGGAGCAGGTGAAGACAGGCTGGACTGAACAGCTTTACGCTCTACACTGCAACCAGCCAGCCTGTTCATGCCTTGCTACCTGCTGTCCCATGCCCATGTTGGGGTCAGAGGATATAAAAGGGGGATATCTAAAGTTTTGGTGTGAGAGGAGGGTCAGCGAAGATGCACACATCTCTGTAAGTTGTGTCTCATTAGTTCAGCTGCATATGCAGTGAGTCGTTTCAGACCTGCTATAGTATTTTCCCTTGCAGCTGTTGCCTCTGAAATTTGGTTTGGTACATTCAGTGTATTATCAGCCATGGAATCTCTTCTTTGGGGTTTTTATTTGCAGAATTTGTTTCCTCTGAAGAAGCTGCTTTCACTGAATTTTACTTAAAGGCCACATCTGAGGTCTGTCTGGTTGTTGCATTAGTGGACAGAATGACCAGCAGCAGCAGGACAGAAGAGCTTTTTTAGAAAGCTGATTGATCCAAGCAGTGGTTACTCAGTTCAAAACAGACAAAAGAAGGTATTGCTAATCAATAAAGCATTATTTAAAAAAAAAAAAAAGAAAAAAAGAAAAAAAATAGTAGTAAGACAGACTGAATCTGGGAAATAGCTGCCAGCAGCTCAGCTAAGCATCAGTCCTCATGTCACTCTCAATACTTTGTGTCCAGGTAAGACTGAAGAGCTGCATTGCAGAAAGTGATTTTAAAATATTAAGGGAGAGTTAATGTTGTAAAAAAACCACTGTCACAAGCTGCTGCCTGGCTTGTTAGTCTGAACTTTCATGTGGTCAAGTATATTGACAGTGGTTTTTATGCAGAGAGTCACAGCTTCTCTGTTGGGTGGGAGCCCTGTAGGTACTCGGCACTCAGCTTCTGGGATGCTGGGAGGACTTCTGATATATCTGCAGTTATCTGTCATGCAACTAAAAACATTTGCAAATTATCCCTTGCAGTCTGTGGTGCTGTCTCGGAGCTTTTTCTCAGTTGTTAGTGCTGGCAATGTTGTGTTCATCTCGAGCAATGCTTTAAAATTGATCACAGAGCTGAAATTGTCTGTATATTTTTTCATTGGGGGATTTCTGTACATGGACCTGCTGTATGGAGAAGGTTTGGACCAAGCACAGAAAGAATAAGCACTTGCTATTTTTATTTTTAGGCATACAAATACACTACATTCTCACTGCTTCACATATTACCTCTTCCCCAAAACAGTGATGTTTTCTATTCTGTGCTTTTTTCCAAGTGCACACTTGGTACCTATAGTAATGTTCTCCATGCTTAGAAGCGAGGACAGTATTTCATTTAATTCTTTGATGTGGTCAGGAACAGACTAATTTTCCTTCTGTTGTTATGTAATTGTGTACAGTTTAGTGAAAAAGCGGAGATATTAAAAGAATACTGTTGTTCAATTCAAATGTCACGTTTAAGATTGCCCCTGGAAATAGAATTCATCATCTTTGCTTATACATGGTGATAGCACGGGCCCACTAAAAGCACTTCTCAGCTGAGATTACCTATTTTCCACTAACTTGTGTGTGTAGAAATGTCTGAATTTACTTTCATTCAAACATCAAAACCAAAAAAGTCAATGCATTTTTACTGTTGAATCAGTCAAAGACTGCTTGTCTTAAATGATGTCTTCATTTGAAGACAACAATGGTCTGTTACTAAACACTGTTCAGGAGCTGCCCCTTAAGTATGGATTTTGGTGCCAACTTTGCCAATAAATATATATATTAGATGTCTATTTGATTGCTTGTAACTGATGTTTTAAATTCATTCTTTCATGAGTGCCCAACAAATAATTTTCTCTGTCTCACAGTGGAATTTCTTGTATTTTGGGTAGATGCCAGCACATCGTCTGGTCTGATAGGGAGGCAAAGGCAAAGCCTCTTGTCTATCAACTGGTGGCTTTTAAAATACATGCCGTGGGGATGCTCTCTCTGAGATTGGTACCTTCGGCACAGGTGTCAGGGATAGCATGTGGACAGACTTGGGATAGCTTGGGTCAGGGAGTAGGAGCGGTCATCTCACAAGAGACACTTTGGGGAGAGCTTTTCTCCCCCAGCTCCCGCGCGATTTCTGAAGGAATGATCATCGGTACCTTGTGTCTCTGCGAGGCAGTGCTTGCCACTAGAAGGCATAACACTCCATCATCCACAAGAGAGCACAAAACTTCATTCAACTTCTCTTCTAATCCCCACCTCAGTCTATGAGGCAATAGGGCAGCCTGAGCTTTTCCTTCTTTTTATCACCTTCCCCCTCTAAAGCCTTCATGGACCAAAGTGATGGCTTGCATCAAACACATTCAGTCTCTTTCTCCCACAACTTTAAGCCCAGTGAAGATCTTTCCCAAGGTTCTTCCTATAGCATTGCTGTGAGAAGAATAGAAAGAATTAGACTCAGTTATTTGGTAATATGATTTATAACAGCCAAGCAGTAAGTGAAATTTTTATCTATTAGAACTAATTGACGTAGATGTCACATGCAGAAGGAAAAGTTTAAAAGCATGTCACTCCTAGCATATTGAATTTAGTTGCGCTTTGTGGCACTTCTTGTCTGAACAGGACTTTTTCTGGTTTTAATGACCGTTTGATAAATACAGACATACAATAATCGTCTCTGTGACAGCTATCCTGATCTCTAAATGTGTTTACATCTGAGGCATCTGGAAGCTGATATCTCTGGGAAATAATCACCTTAACAAGAAAGGCCAAGTTTTAGTCCTTCTTGAGAGTTTCCATTGCAGGGATTTTAAAAAAAATGAAGACCTATATGAGAATTTATGAAGAAAAAAACCCAAGATGACTCCTCCCTGCTGGGTTTACACATGGGTACAAGAGCTGGGAAGAAGACTTTTCCCTTGATGCGTATA